CTTTTTCTCCAGTTAAAAATGAACTAGCTTTACTAATACACCACTGACCTGGAGCTGCATTACTCCATTTAAAGACTGAAGCAGCTAAAAGAGAAACAGAACTTCCTGGGAACCAGCAGCAAGCATTGCCCAGGGCTGTAACAGGAGCTTCACCACCACCTGGCAGGGGAAGTCCCATGACCACTAAGGTGGTTTTCTGACTGGCAGAGGAAAACCACTTTCCTGGCAGGAGGTAGTACCTAGTAGAGCACAGTTTCGCCCTTTCACTTCCAATGGGAAGATCTTGGCCATACACCAACTTTACAAAAATGGGAGAATTCTCCCTAGCTTGCTCCTGCAGCCATATGGTTGAGGGCAAGCGAAACTCGGGGGCACCTGAACCCCAAGCCTTCAGGGGTGCCCGCCAAAGGGTTTGAAAGCATCTGAAGCCCCGGGCTGGGGTGGAAGATGTCCTAGATTTCAGACATTAGGGCTGGAAGAGGCCTCTGAAGATCACTGAGTCCAGCCCCCTGCCCCAGGGGCAGGAAGGCAGCTGGGGTCACAGGATCCCAGCAAGATAAAAATCCAAATGTCTCTTTTAAGAGTCCAGAGGAGGTGCTTGCATCACCACTGCAGGGAGTCTATTCCAGGCCTTGGGGGCTCAGACAGTAAGGAAGTTTTTCCTTATGTCCAGCCTAAAACCGTCTTGGAGGAGTTTGTGACTGTTGGACCTTGTCATCCCACAGGGCGCTCTGGTGAACAGACATTCCCCCAGGTCCTGATATACACCCCTTATACACTTATAGGCAACCACCAGGTTCCCCCTGAGCCTGCGCTTTTCCAGGCTGAAGAGTCCCATGGCTCTCAGCCTCTTTTCATAAGGCCTGTTCTCCTGCCCTCTGATCATGCGCGTGGCTCTCCTCTGGACTCCCTCAAGCTTCTCCACATCCTTTTTAAATTGTGGAGCCCAGAACTGGACACAGTACTCCAGTTGCGGCCTCACCAAGGCCAAGTACAGCAGGATGATGTCCTGGGATTTGCCTGAGAAGCATCTACGGATGCAAGCCAGCATTTTGTTCGCTTTACTAGCTGTGACATTGCATTGGTGGCTCATGTTCCTCTTGTGGTCCATCATGACCCCCAAGTCCCTTTCAGCCGTGGTGCTAGCGAGCGCAGCACTGCTGGGTCTATAAGCGTGATGTGGGTTACCCCTCACCAAGGTGGAGCACCCTGCGTTTTGCCGTACTGATGCTTGCCGGTAGTAGGGCCACATACGGTTCCTGAATGACTCATGGACTTGCAATGGATTTGGCGGCCCTGACTTGACTTGAGACATGAAAACTTTTCCATTAAAAAAAAGCAGCAAACCCCCCAGGAGCAGCTAATGGCAGCGGGGCAGAAGACGGGGGAGCGTCGCTGGCCCCCGGGTTACTGAGGCCAGAAAAGCAGGAAGTCCAGATGAAGCAACACAAGAAAAAAAGCCAGTGCTACGTCCTGCTCTGAATCTGCACGGAGGCCCGCGCCCAGACGACAGGCGACTAGCGCCCGCGGGGGCAGAGCCTGGCAGGGCGCGGAGGAAGTCAAGGGCGGGCCGGGCGGCAGTTCCGGGCGGCGATGGAGCGGGCGCTGCTGGGC